GTCAACTCATTTACAACCTTCCAGAAGAATATTTCACAACACACGGAATCAACAGCGTCGAGCATGCCGACTTCGCAGGTGTTGAGCGTCTTGCTCTCGTTACAGGCGGTGATATCGTTTCCACATTTGATACGCCAGAAAGCGTCAAGCTCGGACATTGCGACCTTGTTGAAACAATCATGATTGGTGAAAGTAAACTTCTCAAATTCAGCGGTTGCAAAGACCCAGCAACAGCTACTATCGTTCTCCGTGGTGCAACAGACCAAATCCTTGATGAGGCAGAGCGTGCCATGCATGACGCNCTTTGCGTTATTGCTTCAATGATGGAAGAGAANCGNACAGTCCTCGGNGCAGGATGCAGCGAAGTTTTGATGGCCGACGCCGTTGACGAGGCTGCCCGCCAAACACCAGGCAAGATCGCACTCGCCATGGACTCGTATGCNCGCGCACTCCGCCAGATTCCAATGATCCTCGCCTCAAACGCAGGACTCGACGCACCAGACATCGTCGCGAGCATCCGCGCTGCTCACGCAAAGGGACAGACGACATACGGTCTCGACATAAATGGCCGCGGAATCGGTGACATAGAAAAATTAGGAATCACAGAGAGTTTCAAGGTTAAGCGCCAGATTGTCATCAGCAGCGCAGAAGCAGCCGAACAAATTCTTCGCGTTGATGAAATTGTTAAGTGTGCACCAGCCCGCCAAGGAAGGAGATAAAGCAAGGTTCATCTAAACATCTAATACCTATTATAACTTTCCATTCTGTTTTTATTTATGTCGCTCTTATTTCTTTTTTTCTCATCTTTATGCCATTCTTATCATCTTTAATGACTGTTTGTTGTGAAAGAATCGATTGTTTCAATCTATTCCCCTCACTGTAAAAAAAAATAATGAAATTATTTAGATATAAATTATATTTAATTCTTATTCTATGATGTGAAAGGTTTCACTTCGAAATCGAGGAATGATGCTGCATTATGAACGGTTGTTCCGCCAAGTATGAACTGGTGCCCTATACCACTTTCTGTCCTTTTCTTCGACATATTTGTTACAACGCCCAATTCAGCATAAGTTGCACCACCAACACAAAAAACGATAACTTTGTAGGAATCGCCTCTTTTGTTGTCGATGAATGGGTATTGGTTCGGATCGAGTTTCTTGTCTTTTATGGCTTGTAAAATTGTTTCTAGTGGCGGGTGATACATTTCGAATTGAGATTTGGCTGTTGATGATTTTAATCCTTTCTTAAATTTGGCCATGAGTGATCGATTCGAGAAAATATCACCACTGCGAAGGTCTTGACCAGCAATTCGTGTCAAAACTTGGGCATAGCGCATTTCTTGCTGATGCCATGGACCACGTGATTCAAGTGCTCCTAAAACTCTTGAAATATAATCTGGGTCAGATTTTTCATAATGCAAAACATAAACAAGTGCCAAACGAAGAGCATTTTCTTTCGAACAGCTTGGACTTTGAATAAGATCACAGAATTGCTGACATTGATCACCAGCATCATTAACTGTTGCTATGATTTGTTCGAGTGATGTGATATCAAGTAAACCATCTTGAATGACTTTTTGATGAAGTGCTTGATATAATTCGAGATGAGTATTTGCGTAAGTGATTTCATTGTTTCCTTGAAGAACTTTTAATGCTTTTTCATTCATTGTTGCAATTTTCTCGCTTTTCACTTGTTCATTGATTGCTTTGATTCCATCGAAACGTTGACGAATGGCATTTCCAGCATCTTCGAGATACATTGTATCAATCCTTTCAGTTTCTGGATCGCTTCTCTCATCAATAATAAACTGCTTTCTGCCAATTTCAATGATGTTGTTTTTGATGGTGAACAAATCATGAATAATTGGCAAATAATAGAAAAAGTGGAGAAGTGGAGTAACTGGATCATTTCTGCGATCAAGAATTAACACAACAACGCTATCGTCGCGAGAATTATTGAATAGGTCGCCGTTCGATGAAACAAGCTGTGAAAGCCCAGTTGCAATCGTTTTTGTAACTTCAGAATTTTTGTCATAACGAATGATGGGCTTACCGCGGACAGAACAAATAGCTGCAAATAATCCTTCTGCAATTCGGGAAGATTGCTCAGAAAGTTGTGGGTTTTTACGGAATTCTGAAATGTCTGGCATGTTAAGCGAAAACAGGCGTGTTCCAAGTGCTGAAAAATCAACAAAAACTTCCTGGAAATTTTCGATTAATGTATTCGTGTCGCGGGACGCTAGCTGATGCAATTGTGAGTCAGTTATCGTATTTGTAAAGAATAAGGCGTACTTTGAAAAGTGTGGGTTTTGTAATTCTTCGCATAAAAGATCGATATTGTCATTGGTGGGACGAAGAAGGCAATAGCAGGAAAGCGCGGCAACCTGCGGATCAGCTGGCTTTCTGACACGTTGCGAGAGCTGCTCAATTAAAACAACTTCGTGTGTATATAATTCAGTTTTCGACATGGCGACGCTAATATACGCCAATGTTTCCGGATCGAGAAGGAGTGCTTTAACGCCGACAGATGTATCACGGAAAATGTGTTCGAGGTATCTAAAGACTGAAAGTTGAATGTTCATTTTTTGAAATAAATTTTTAGCTTTTTACAATTTTCTAACTATAAGCAACTTTTTGATAAATTTACAATATTGAAAAAGTTGTTATATATATGCAAAATGTCATTCACAAATTTTTATGATCGGTTATAAACATAAAATAATTTACTATCATAACTCTAGCATATGCATTATTTGAACATATATCATTTAGCACTAATTGTCCATATAATAATGGAAAAACATTATTATTTATGAAAAGATAATTTGATTTTATAAAATTCGGTTAAGAGACATGTGATTTAAAAAATTCGGTGATGCCTTTAAAATCAGATCCCAATCATGTGTTATGGAAAATGATTCATGATAGGCCGTATTACTTTATGAATATAACTATCTTACTATACTAATAGGTTATATAATCACAGTGATGAGAATTTTTCCTGGTGCTTATTTTCAATATTTAATTTGCATTATCCATAATTCTCTAAAAATAAGGGAAAAATTCTTATACTTTACTATAAATTTCCTAAAAATCCTTTCAACATTAATAATATCGATAAGATTGTAATATATAATTTTTATAAAAAACATGATATTTATGTTAGTGTCATTTTCATCATATTTTTGTTTGTTAAAATAACAAAATGTTAATTCAAATATCCACATATTTTATTAACATTAACAAATGCTATTCTAATATCTTAAAAAAGTATTTCTAACACATCAAACAGCTTTGTACTTTCAGTGATTCATTCATCAATGAATTAATCAATTCTTCAATCAATTCATTCGGTTGAAGATGATTCATTTTATGGGAGAAACGACTTGACTTTTGCTTCTTCCTTTCTTTGACCTTGGATCAACAAGTGGCGGCAATTTCAGTGTATTTATTGTTTTTAAGTTCATTGTAATTGTTGCATTCCTTTTTCTCTTCGACATTTCACCTTTTTGTCCCATTGTTGCTCTACTCAACAAGCCAGCTTCATTTCGATGATAAATATTCCAAAACTTATCAAAATCATTTGCAACTTCAAGTTCATGTTCTAAATTTGCAATTCTTTTCTTTTGTGCTTCGGTTGCTCTTTCTCCTGCCGCTTGAACTTCAGAAAGTCTTCGATTTTGCGCCATTTTTAAAATAGTTAGTTCATGCTGATGCTTATCATTCAAATTTTTCAATTGTCCTTCATATTCCAGTGACATTTTTCTTGACATTTCTTCAGTTTCTATCTTTTCAAGATTCGATGCAAGCATGTCAGCTTTTCGAAGCTCATCAAATCTTTTTTGATTCATTAATAAAATGCTTTGTGCTCTAATTTGACGGAGTGCTGTTGAAGCTCGTGCGTATTTTTTCATATTTCGTTCTGATTGCCATTTAGACAAGAAATTATCCATTTCAGTTTGATGTTTTTTCGACAATTTGTCCAAGTTTCTTTGATTTTCAATTTGTAATGATTCAAGTGTTCCATTTACGCGTTGTTGCAGATTGTTTAATTGGTCATTTGCTTCATTTAGTCTTTTTTGAATGTCTGCTGCTCTTTCTTGAGCAATTTGACTTTTTATGCTATTCTTTCGTTCTTGTTGCAATTTTTGGATGATATTTTCTGTTCGTTCACCTTCGTTGACATTATGGTTCTTAAGATGCTTGTCGCGATATTCTGACAAATAACTGACTACATTAACGACATCCGGCGGTTCGACAATGGAAATGTCTTCATTGTTTAATAATCTTTTAGCAAGTGATTCTGCCCTTTCTTCTGGTGTTTCTCGTGGATTGTTAGAGAGATAAACTGGTCCATTTGGCTGCGTTTCGAAAATTTCTTTCTTTTTTGGTTTTGATGAACTTTCACTTTTGGTGGAGCTTGACCTGGATTCTATTTGGTCAATTTCTTGTGGGTGCGGTGAATTTTCTTTTATTTCATTATTTTGATCAATGCTGTCGTTTGCTTGTGAATCTTTTTGAGGTGGATTATTTATTTCTTGCGATTCGTTTTCAACTTTTTGCTCTTTGTCGTTTGCTTGCTGCTCGTTTTGAGATGAAATATTTATTTCTTGCGATTCGTTTTCAACTTTTGGCTTTTCGTCGTTTGCTGGATTTTCACCTTCATCGATCTGTGCATTTTGATCAGATTGGTTCTCTTCAGGATTTAAAACTTTGTCCTCTTCAGGAGGTTCAATCTCAGTCATTTTAACGAATTTTTAACGATGAATGGTTATTGAATTTTTTATGAAAACTGTATGAAAAAAATAAACTTGAAAGAATAACTCAAAATCACTATCAAGAAAATCTTACTGAAATAAAATACTGATATGAGAATCACAATTACTGTGGTTATTGATTCATAGAGAAATTTATGATTAATATTGATATGATACTGAGATAATGTGCATGATTTACGATTTTCACTAAATCAAAAAAAAAAAAAAAAAAAAAAAAAAATGGATGACAGGGGAGTCGGACCCCTGGCCTCATCAATGCGAATGATGCGCTCTACCACTGAGCTAGCCACCCAATCTATTTTTTTCATTTTAAAGAAAAACACAAAGATTAATTCTATTTTCTATCTCTTTACCAGATCTTTCATTCATTAAAAACAAACGTTCCATTCCTTAAAGTGTCATAGCCATCTAAGGTTTAAGATAGAATTTTCCTAAATCTAATAAATTCGAAAAGTAAAATTTTTCACATATCTTTATTCAAGATATTTCAATCATCGAATCTTTTATACATCAATTGTTTAAATTTCTTAGATATCATTCAATTTGAATTGATTTCCTTTCTTTGCGTTTCTCTTTTGCATAATTCTCATTTAGATGAATTACAGGGTTGCGCTATGTTTTCATGATCTCACGATTATCCAATAAATTAACTTTTTGTTATTTCATTTATCTTATCTATTGAGTCATTGGCAACTTTTTCAGCTAATTTAGAAACAAATATCTTTTCTTCTTCGCTTTTATATATATTCATAAATTGAAAAATATTCCATCCAAAACTATTAACTGTATGAAATACATTAAATTTCTTACTTGATACCATGAATCTGAAAACTGCGCTACTATCGAGCATTAAACTTTGCCTGACAGTCTCAAAATCCCACACTGGTATCAAATCAAAATAATTTACGAGCACATATATATTATTCGATTTTACAGCCATATCTAGTACTTTACTAGAAATCTCTTCATTTGTTGATTCATGAATCCAATCAAATATTTCATTATAGTGAAATTCTGCCGCTAATCCCAAAGCTTTCGAATTTTGATGATTTTGTTGACATAAATGTAGTATTTCTGCATTTCCACCACATACAGCTGCTTCAATTTCGTTGAGCTCAAAATATTTATTTAAAGGAATATTATTCATATTATTCAGATATAAAAATTTGAAACATTTTACTGATCCACAAAAAGCTGAAAAAACTGACAAATTAAATTGATTATATTGAACAGTAAAAGGATAGAAAAAACTCGGAAATAGGATTTCATTGAAGTTTATATTAGAGGAACTCAATAATGCTTGAAGTGAGTCACAATTATCTTTTAAAATAAAACCTGCAAGTGATTCCTCAAAATATCCAAAATTTAATAAATCGTGAAATTTCTTCCATTTATTTTCTTTAATTTCACGTAAATTATTTAGGATTAATTCAAATACATGTTTCAGTAAATGCTTTTTAGTTTTATGAAGCGTGAAATAAAACATACTTTGGGCAAATTGAGTATCATTTTCATATATTTCTTGAAGAAACCAAAAGTAAATAAATATGGCTTGAAATCGATATTCCCTTTTAAAAGATTTCAAAGTTTGACAAAATTGAATCACTTCTTTGAGTTCAATCAAGCCGAGATCATAACATAATCGGAGAATATGAATTCGAGAAATTTCATATGGAAAAAGTATTGGTTCAATAAATGATTTCTTGGAAAAAATAAATGTTTTTATATTAAAGAAAATCCAACGAATTGATGGATTTTCATATATTTGAAGAAGAAGGGATGAAAATAACTTAGCATTATGCCTCCTATATAATAAAGCTTGTGAAAATAATAGTGGCAAATGATTTATTGTATTTGGTGAATGACACCGACTTAGCAAGGAAATAATGGATGAAATACTTTCTTCAGTAATATTATAAAGAGCATTTTGTATTTCATATGTTTCTAGTAGATCATCTGTAAGTTCTTTATCACAAAAATTTGGAATAGTAAGCATTCTTATATCTCTCGAAATATATTTTTTAGGGGCAGAAAAAATGACCAGATTAACATTTAAATTCATCTCCAAAATTGAAATAAATTGTACGTTTAAAATAGGATTCGCATTCAGAAAAAATCTATCGTATTAATAATTCAATGCATTCAAAAATAACGTGTTTTTTTAATGATTACTGATCGAAATGATGCTTTCAAACATAACTCATGTAAGAAATTGGCCCAACTAGCGAAAGTCATTGTTCAAATGAGCTCAATTGCCAAAGATCGTGAAGACGAACTCAACAATATTACAATCGAATATGAATCTACGATTTCCCAACTTGTAAGACAGCATATTTATTTAGCAGAAGGAATTGCAAAAAATCTAGTTTTATATCGGAAAGGATGCATTGATAAAGCGTGCCAAGAATATGGAGTTCATTACAAAGTCATTAAAAACGGCCTTTCAGACCTCTGTAAAGAGAAATTACAAGAACTACAAGATATTCTAAATGAGTCACAATCTGTAATTCAAAGCATCAACACCATGCAAAATGATGCTATTGATCAAGCGAACCAAGTTTTGGAAGCAGCTGACGCCATTCAGAGGAATATGTCAAATTTAAACAGAAGACCAAAAACAGCTGTTAAAAGGCAAATAAATGCTGCTTTAAACCCGATCCATGATAAAATTACCAAATTTCAAAACGAACTCGATAATAAACTCAAGCAAATGAGATCTCAACACGCTAAAAATATACAATCAAACAGAAATGAAATATATAAATTTTTGCGAGAAGAGATCATAAATAGACAAGACGAATTTAATCAATATAAATTTTCACTAAAGAATTTGAAAAATGAAGTAAATAAATTAAAAGCTGAATCTCAAAAGATTCTAAATGATAATGCCAATTTAGACTTTAAAAATAAAAGAAATGGAATAATATCAACCACTAAAAATTCATGCCGTGATATTTCTTCACAGATTCAAGAATTACAAAAGAAAGAAAAACACAATGAATCTGAACGAAAATTCCAAATCAATGAATTATTAAAAGCGAAACAAAACTTGATTAATTCTCATCAAGCTGATATTAAAAATTTACACTCGCAAGTTAACTCTCAAAAACATCAAAGACATCAACTTACTTCATCTCGATCACTTGAACTTCAAAAGAGACAAGAGGCTCTTGATTCAAAAACCAATACTTTGAAAAAGGAGCACGAAAATAGTATGAATATGAAAAATTCACTTTTTGAACAAATTTGTACACAAATCAAAGAGTCAGGTAAAGATCTTCAATTAATTAATGCCCATTTACAATCCATTATTGAAGAATCAACGGCAAAAACAGCTAATAGAAAACTATCATTAAATTATCAATATGAGCAAGACATTAGAACAACAATGCTGAAAATGGAAAAGGAACTGAATGATTATCGTGACAGTGCAAAAGCAAGACTGAATATTTTTTTAAACGCTTTTAAGTCACAAATGGATTTATATCAAAATATACAGAAAGAAAAAAGAAATGATATTTCTAAACTTCTTGAACAACTTAAAGCATTAATTGCACAAAACAAGAAAGAATTAGAAGAAAAAGAAAAGAAAGAAGAAAAAAATAAAAATGACTATCAGAATGCTAATCTTGCAAGACAACAAAATCGAAAGCAGGAAATAGAAAATGTCATAAATAGAAAAATATCGGATCGAGACAGACAAATTTCAACATTAAAAAATAATTTCAATTCAGATTTAAATAAGAAAAAGAAAGAACTTGAAGAAGAAAACAAACAGAAATTAAATGAATATAAAGAAAAAATCAAATCATTAGATAATGTTACAAATGAAGAAAATCAGCATAAAACTAATATTTTGAAAATGGAAGGAAAGCTGAATTACGCAGTTGGCCAGTTTGAAAGATCAAAACAAGAAGGGGAGCAAAAAATATCACTTTTACAAAATGAAATATCAAATACAGAAAAAACTATTCGACAAATACAAAGAAAGATTAAAATGGATTCACAAGCCATTGATGAAGAGTTCGAAATGAAAATTCAAGTTGAACAAGTTAAATTAAATAATACAATTGAAAATATTTCAAAACTTTATGATAAAGAAGAAAATCTTCGTGGTGTTGAGCTTGTTGAAGCGATTCGAAAACTTAGGCAAATTCAAAACAGAACAGATGATCTTTGTTTAAAGAAACAACATGAAATTGATGATGAAGAAAAAGAATTTAAAGAGATGCAAAAATCACTCGAGAATGAAATAAAAGAGATGAAAGATAAGAAAACTATTAATGATTTAACAGAAAAATTAAACCTACTAAATGAAAAAGCAAAGAATGAAATAGAAAGTGTAACAAAATCTAATTTAGATAAAATTGAAAAAATTGAAAAACAAATTGAAGAAAAGAAAACATCTCATTCAGAAAGAATGAATGAAATGAAAAAGAAAATTGAAGAAGAAAATATTATGTTTGATTCCTCAATAAATGAATTTAAAGCAAATGAAAACTCAATAACCAATGCAGCTAATGAACAAATTGATAAATATAAACTTGAATACGAATCACGAAAGAAAGAAATGATTGATAAACATAATGAACAAGTAGCCAAGATGAAAGCCAGAATAGAATCAGCAAAAGGCTTACAAAATGAAACACTCGAAAAGAAAAACCAAGACTATGATAAAGCTTCTGATAATGAAAATAATCTGATTGCAAAGAAATGCAATTTTGATCAAGAATCATTGAACAAAGTTACGCAAGATTTTCTCAAATCAGATTCAAACTATGCTGCCAAGATTTATGAATTAATCTGCAAAATTGCAGATCTTCAAATAAATGTTTATAATTCCACAATCAGGAAAAATGAGCAACAGAAAATAAACGCACTTAAAGAATCAATCAAAAAGAAGGATACAGAAATGGCTCAATTATTTGAATCTTTTTATAAAATGGTTGATAATGTCCAGAAAGTACCACTTTCTCAAGTTCAATCTCCACTTCAATTCCATGTTAGGCCAAGTAATTCCAGGAAATCAACAACAAGGGGATCGAAAATTGAAAGCCCAAAAATCATAGATGTTTCTAAGAAGCATCTACATCCAATTATGAGTCCTCAAGTTGTGTAATTTTTTTGTATTTATATATTAAAAAATTGTGTAGAATATTTTATTTGACTTTATTTTTAGTATTACTATACTTACTACAAAGATAATTTCTAATCTAATAATTCTCATGAAATCCCAATAATGTCTGGGACATCTTGAGTCACCTACAGTTTATTGCTGTGAAGGATTACTTA